ACGCACACAGGGCAAAACATAAGTCCCCGTTTTCGGGCTCCGTTCGAACGGGGACTAAAAAGGGGTCACCCCACATTTATGAAGGCACAAAGTTGCTGGGCCTTATACTGAAATGAAATGTATTCCTTGAATTTCTATGAAATGAAGAGGCCTTTTAAGGAAAATATAAATGTTCATGTCTTCCTGAAATTAACTGTATCAAATTTATTCTAGAGAGAATGAAAATAGATACGGGCATGTGTATTCCATAACAGAGGATACCTGACCTGGCAATATTGTTATGATTGGTAATTTGGTTTTTACCAGAAAATTATCATTGAAATTGAGATACAGTGATCAACAACATTCATGACAAAATCGATACAAAAAATTAGTGAAGGTTTGACAGCAAAAAGACGCAATAAAAAACAACAATACATTGACAGTTATTGATTATAATATAGCACACGTACCCAGTTTTATCTCCAAGTTTGATTTGTAATTCCTTCTCAGTAAACTTACAAATATCACCCATATACTGCATACCAAGTTCATCCTGCAACTGCTGTCCCAGTTTCCCTCCAAGATGCCGCCTTACAAGTGAAAACATTGTGATGAAATGTATGTATTATGAACATCTACAAGAGAAATGCATTTGAGCCTGGGCAGAAGGGACACCACTTGAATTTGTGAAAGTAGCTCATGGCTGAGTGGAATATTTACACGGATAAAGAGTTGAATTACATTGATTACGTCCACATAAGGTGTGACCAAGTACAGATAAATAATCTTCAGATAAATTTAGCACTGAGGAATGTTGTGATTTCATCTTGGGAAAACATATTGAGTGTATTTTTGGATACAAAATTTGAATGAATGTTTCTCTTGAGGAAAAAACTTACACTTTATTAACAGGTATCAATTTAAAAAGTTTTTCAACTGATTCAAAAGGCAGTACAGTTTGCTTGTTAGGTTTATTAATTCCACATGCTAGCTTGGCAAGTATCTATATGGAGGGAAAAATAGAAAAAGCTTAATCAAGAGAAATATGACTGAAAAGGAATTGTACTACATGTAATATCATTAAGTCACCGTCACCTGTCATAATTCAAAACTATTTTGAATATATCTTTGATTAAATATCACCATGATACACCAACCTATGATTGATGCAAAGCACAGAGTGAACTTACTTTATTATGTGAGACACCAGCAGAGCAACGGAATTCAGTCTTTTGATAAACTGCTTTTCTCATTTCTTCCACTATGACAGCACCAATTGCAAGTCGTTTATGTTCTATACTGTGACAGTTATTTAACCATTGAAAAACTCCACTGGTTTGACTTTCTAAGATGTGTAAGTAATCACAGGGAAAAAATGATTGTAGAAAGACAACATGGAACTATGCGCACCTAACACAGTGAGGAAATTGGACCATCAAATGCATAATTCGTCTCAGGGGATTTGGAAAAACGATATGGACAATTTTTTTTATTAGTCAGGTTTCCCCACAGTACCATATTGGAATCAAAGTCAACCTTGAATAGAATCAACTCCCCATTCAATATATTGCTATTCATCGTTCATTATTGTAATACAAAAATCATGGTTATGAACAACATGCACTAAAGTGACATATCAATATCTAAGATTATTATACATGTATATTCATTTTTGCTGTTCATATAAACATTTCCTCATTCTACCACAGGTGGCGCACTTTACTGGCAAGCAAAGTTGGCAAAAAAAATTTGATTTGCTCGTAAATAAACTTGGAATGAGTAAAAATACAGAGTTTTTATTTTAAAATACTTGTACCTAAAGGAGGCTCTTCATTAGGGTCATTATTTTCCTTGCCATCCCAGCCAACAACAAATGTGTTTGGTAACATATCAATAGATACATCCACATCGCCTATCTCTTCCATTTTTTTATCGATTTCATCAGTGAGATCGATATATGCTTCATCAACACTGGCTCTTTCAACACATTTACTGAACGTGCATAGAACCTCCATCACCTCAACGCAAGCATCCCGGTACCTTTATCAAGAAAAATAATTGAAATACCAACATTTAGTTACAAAATCCATCTTTGAATTGTACCTCCTTCCATTGTGAAAGTTATGTGGGACATAGTCTGCTGCCAACTCCATGAGAATATCACAATATGCTATCTTGTACATTGAGTGGAATTTTACTTCGACCATAGACACACATCCTTAACCATATGTAAGCACATGTGCTCATGAAGCACTTTGTAAAGCTAATATTTGCCTAAGAAAATTGCTGTCAGTACTGTGCATGTATTAATTCTAACAGTCTTATGAATGGCATCCAAAATGCCACACATCCTAGTACTGACTAGGGAAATGAGAATTTCTGAAATATTTCCCCCCCAAAATGCAAGCAGTTATCATTGAAGCCTCAAAAACCATTAAACACAGGAAAAAATGCATGTACAATATAGGAAATTATGGCTATTATAGTGCAATACCCTTAGAAATTACCAGTACAAAAATGTGCGACTTTTAGGAGTCATGCATATGCTCTTTTCAAGATGTACCTTGATAAATTAGCTTTTCCTCTTTTTTCTGGAACCCTAAACACATGAATATCAGGACAGAGTTCCTTTGCTTCATCTGCTCTCATACCTCCACGACGTACTCCTTTAGCCCGAGCTTCATATCCAACAGCTATTATCCTATAGGTTAAAGCAAAACAAATCACAGTAAAAGGCATCGTCTCTACTCAGCCCAGTATGAAACAAGACTGAGAAATCATGCCTATAAACACTATCACTGTTACACATAACATGGTAGTTGACATTATGTATACTATACTCCTCATAATGTATGGAATCGGTCACTGGTAGCATAGTGGTTGTTGCATCAGACTCATGATCGGTAGACCCAAGTTCAAATCCTACCATAGGCTGAACGTCAAAAAGGTCGACCCCTACCCTGGGTGAGTGTGCCACAGACTCAATGGGAAGGCCATTTCCATTGGCGGAGATTCATTCACTAACGAATGCGACTTTGGGGGTCCGCAGGTGCTTGTGTTCGACCGGGCCTGGTTGACGCCAGGATAGCGCATTACAAATTGCCATTTGACAGAGAGATGGCCACACAGCCCTGTCATGTAGTCCCAAACATGAATATGACTTCTGTGGCAAAATGCACTATGTGTCGTCACTAGCACTTGCAATTTGCACATACAAAGAAAAAAAAAAAAAAAGTCAGGAGAGACAACAGTGACACTCAATCTCCGGAACTGTCGCCTGGCACAAAAAATATTAAAAAAAAAAAATGTATGAAATCAAATTTGTGTGGATGACATTGAGCTAATTATCATCTATATTCTACAATAGGTGAAACAAATTCATGCCTGAATCATCTTCACTCGCCAAGATATGTTCATTCAGCCATTGCTTAACTACTATTCTTTGGCAGATCCTGTGTGTGTTAAAAAGTGCTGAGCTTTCTTCCATAATTTGCGACAATTGCGCTTTAATTTGTTGAAACCACATAAACAGTATGTAGGTAATAGAATTCTGGCCAGTAAAACACATGTTGGCAACCATTTGAGGGCTACAAATGCTAATAGACTAGTTGGTGGCATGAGACTTATAAGTGTTTACAGTAAAACGCTGTACAGGTACATGTATGTTTTAAAGTGTTACCAAATGCATTTATTGTATTCCTTATTTGGAAAATGTGCATATTTACATCACTATCGAACGCTCATTTTGGCAGTCAGCATTAGATGCTAACATCCTGTGCAAATTTACATTTGTAACTACCAGTATCTAATCTTATTTTGAAAAATCTTGAATTTCAGTCAAATTATTACTCAAATTCCATTGCATATATGTTTATCTTTAGACCCCTTTGGCACACAGACATTTGATATTTTTTAATAACTCTAGTATGTGGTAATAAATTCCAGCAAACTGATTGGTTCATACAAGACATTTGACTTTTGACTGATTGAATTGCATTGTATTACATGAAAATCAATGAAATGGAAGATGAGCAACACTTTGTTATGTCGTGCCCCATTTATTGCCACCAGGGAAATAAACTCTTCACAAAAGGTGAATAGCATAAAAATGCTTTCAAAATTTGAATCTCAAAGACAAATTTATTTTCTTATTAAGTTGCCAAAAAACGGCAATACCTCTTGCTCAAAGTTTGAAATTTTATTTGACTTGAGGCAGCAACACCATCATAACTTCACTACATAATTGGGTCACTAATAATACCGTTAACGGTAATGTATAATTGTAATAATTCATCAAGCATTTTATTAAAAAGTATTATTTTTTTGTCTCTCTTTTGTAGTTCTTAATTATTTTTCTCAATGTTTGTATTGTATTTTTTTTTATTCTTATTTATTGTCATGTATTAATTTTCCTCCATTCCATTTAAAGATTATTATTACATGTATTATGGAATAAATTCATAACAAAATAGTTGTCATCAGTTTACTTTTTTTTTGCATTTCGGTGACAGTTTCGTAATTGAATGTTGTTATAAATCCTTAGAGTTAATAGATACATTTCATTAAAACAACTTAATATTGTATTAAAGAAAGTTCAATTTCTTAGAGATCATCTACGACCCTGCCTAATATTAAGTTGTTTAAATGAACTGGCTTTGCATCATGTGTGTGTGGGAGTTATCCATGGCTCCCGACCATCAGAGTGAACTACAGTCCTTCCACGGGGACTGTGGGTGAACATACAATGACTTAATTACTTCGTTAAGCTAAAAAATAAGGAAATGAAAAATACACTAACTAAATTCAGACTGAGCAATCACAGTTTAGAAATTGAAAAAGGAAGACACAACAGAATCAAAAGTAGCAACAGAATCTGCAAATTGTGTAATAAAAATGATATTGAAGATGAACATCACTTCCTCATAATATGCCCAGTATATAGTAAAGAGAGGGTCATTTTATACAATGAAGCTGAAAAGATTATTCCTGACTTTACAAATCTTACACCTGAAAATAAATTCATAAAAATAATGTCAAATAATAAATTAACAATTCCTCTGGCACAGTATCTGAAATACAGCTTTGTTATTAGACAGCAGCACCTACTTAGTCGTTGAATCTATTATGTGTTCATTGAGTTTTTGTTTTTATATTCTGTTTATAGTTTTTTGTTGGTGTTTCATTTTATTTATTATATATTTCCGTTACTAGCTTCAATTTAGTCTGTTTTTGGCTGTCCTTTAAACTATTAGTCTTTGTAATTTGATTTATTTTTATCTGTAATTTTCTTTTGTAACCTTTAACCTCCTTCAGTAGGTTGTTACCGAGTATAAGTTAATAAAATACAGTGAATGACAGTACACGACACGGTAGTTTAAAGCGCGGTAGTCGTCACGCTGCGCATGTGTGAGATATATGGGTCTCATATAAACAAAGATGGCGACTTTGACTGTTGCGCAGATCAACGAGTACGAACCGACACGTTTCCAAGCTTCAATTAGGTAGTTTTCATGTGATTGGAAGGTATCAAAGGAGTCACCGGCGGTAATCAGTGCAAGTCGTACCCAAGTCAAACCTCATACTTGTGATTTCCATTTGAAGAGCGCATTGGATTGTGGGAAAATCAATGTTTATCAACACAAATGTGAACATGCGCAGCGCGACGACTACCGCCCTTTAATCATGAGAGTAAAATGAATAAACAGGGTGGATGAACCTTTAGAGGAAGCCAAATTGATTCCAGGTTGTTAATACCGTGGACCTACTATTAGTAGAAGTGAAGGTATGTCCATTCATGGACGTACTAGATCTCTAGTACGTCCATGGTCCATTTTAATACAGAATTGACTCCTCACCCTCCTCCTTTCCAGTGGTTATATTGCACAACAATGCAAGGTTTCCCCCTCGTCTCAGGAAGAAGACGCTGTTCCACCTGCACGTAAAAACAATCCATGTCGACCAATGCAATAACTCTGTCCATTGTGGTGACTAAATATAATCACATCTACTGCCGACACTCTCTACATCTAAAGTTTGTTGACACTGAGTTCACTGGTCTTCAGCAAACCTGTTCCGTTTGTGAACAACGACAACTTCTAGTAAACAAAGTTTCAATAAGGCGGTACTGTGAAATCACGACACACTCCCGCGAGATTTGACCACTGTATCTGATAATTTTTTTTACTCGACTAATATGAGTCGGTTTATTTTGCGACGTTGAAGGATATTTGAACAGTTTTAATCTTTATATTTCATTAAATAATATATACATATATCGATATATTTAAACAAATATTATTTGTGAAAATCACATTCAAAGCATCTATAGAGAATAATTATTGCTTGGAACGAGGGTGATGGGAACGCCGGTTCAATCTACGAGTAAATATGCAAATTATATACACAGGAAAAGGTCAGATTTCTGTGTTCAATGGCGACGGAACTTCTGTGAGATCAGGTAAAATACCCAAATCGATACTTGGCTGTCGGGCATGTGATTGTGATAGTTTTATATTTTACACGACCAGACGAGTAATTTCCCCGCGTTCTCTGGAATGTTATGTATTGAAGTCAAGTGAAATTTGGTCGCCTGCTTATGTGTGGCAATGTTCAGCTGTCGCTGAGTGTACCGACGCTGCTATGCCAAGTGTTGATCGCGTACTAGTTGTTCAACTTGTCACATTTCGTATTTCATGATATCCTTCTAATTTGTTGAGACATCTATCAATTATGTAACATCATTCACTAATTTATTTGCGTTTTAGTTTTCACCAATCAATTTGAAAATACGGAGCTTATCTTTTTCCACAAATCATTTTGATTGTACCGGAGTAATTTCGAATTGATCGATTCGCTTATCAAGGGACCGCAATTACATTTATTTACCGGGGAATATATACACGGCATGTTTTCGACGCAAAACTCCAACTGAACGTGTCTATCACAATTATGACATCTACTCCACTCGTTCCCGTAAGTACTATGATTTTATCAATCTATTTTGTTTTTGCATTTATTCCAACACATAGGGATTGTTTGTGTCGAACTCCATGCTGGTCTATTGTTTACGTTCAGCTGTACTGGGCGTAATTACTAGACCGTCCACACTTTTCTGTCAACAATTACACGTTTGTCACCAGACATGATCAGTGAGCATATGTACATTTCGTATATACACGGTATAAGGTGAAATTCGTGATTGCGGTAAATACACTGAATGTCTGCCAGTCTATCTCCGTGTTCCAAGACTTGTAGTCTAATACCCAAGACATTTTTTGGACACTTGACATTTCAGGGCCAATTCTTACAATTTATTGGGAGGAGTAAGACAACCAGTAGACCTTGGATAACAATTTAATGTCTTCTGTTACCTCCATGGTTAATCTAATGTCCATAAAATAGTTGTAATTTTGTGTCAAGTGAGACTGTACAGCCATCCATAATCCCTTTAACATACTCAATGTGTAGTGATTTGTACTCATTAATCATTTTCACACTGTTGAGAAGAAAAAAAAGTTCCACTGTCTAAGTAATATCATGCTTGCAGTACTGAACTGCACTTATCCAAGCAATGTGGCAGCAAGATGATAATCACTGCCAGATACAGTTATGAATGCAGAAAATATTCTACATGATTTCCAGTTCAGTACACCACATTGGATTGGATAGATCATGTCATTGTGGTTTATTTTGTATTTTGTGAACTTACTGCGTTATAATTTTCAATCTTTGTAAATCAGGGCAACATTTTACTATTGGTGCAACAACTTAATAGATACTAAGTAGAAAATAGATAGAAAATATCAATGTTCTCTGTTGAAAGAAGAAGAAAGTTGTTGGCCGCATATTCCTCAGTTGTATGTTATTAATAATAAACCCTTGTTTTATGGTGCATTAAATATATGTAACTGTACTACACGTAACTGCATTCATTGTACTGTTACATAATACCTCACTGTCAAATAATTAGTATTTCTATATTTAGATTAGTTTTTGTGTGTAATGTTAGTGATGAACTGTCACTCTGTATATCAGCATGGTGCATTTTAAAATTTGTTATTAATTCACCATTTTTCTTGCCTGGAGGCAATAGTTTGGATCTTTGTCTGTTGGCGTGGAAGGAAAAGCAATAAATATAAATTTTTGAAGAAAACGGTAACTGTGGTGACATTGGTAGTAAGGTCAAAGATGATGCTGATAGTTGAATTTGATCCATCAATATTTTGTTTGTTTAAATCAAGCTCAGCCTGTGTTTGTTATGCTTCCAATGTGTATGGTGGTGACTTGGCATGGGGTACTCGTCTGATGAATGTTGTAGTATTGCTGTATTGTCTCCCGCTGCTGATGATAGCCTAATCTGTGTAGGGTTGTCCTATGGTTCCAATAATGTGTCATACTTAAATTAATAGCATGCACCAGAATGCCTGTTTTTTACTTATAGTAACCAGTAATCACAGGTGACCGATTTACAATCTTTTCAATTTCTTGAATGATTCATGTGCCTTGACCGATTTACAATCTTTTCAATTTCATGAATGATTCATGTGCGTTGATATTTGCATACAATTTAGGGCATAATCCAAATCTGTTTATTTACAAAATAGTTTTGCTCTGGGATACCAGAAGATGATTTTCTGTGTGCTAGCCGATTCTTTCTGGTGTCTTAATTTATGTGGCAATTATCGTTTATTTATGGTGACATCTGCCATGCTTCCACACAGGGACACACTCCACTTTGTGTTATATACTACATGAATTCTTGTGTTTGCATAGATCATAGAACCAAAAGCAATACTCATCAAAACAATGACACATTTCCAGTACCTGACATACTTTAAAAGTGCATGTACATCATTGTCCTCTCATAATAGCATTATGGCAATGTAACCAGAGGCTACTGTTATCACCAGTTACAAAATAAAGATTTTTTCATAATTAAAAAAAAAATGATCAGGACATATAAGGAAAATTATGACCATTTAATTCCAAATTATATAAAAGAAATTATGAAAAAATGTGCAAAATTTGACATTATTTCAGTATGTTCATTGTTGGCAGAAACTTCTGTTAAACTAGGTAAATGTGTAATGCCAGCATCAACTGGTCCAAGTCAAACTCGAGTTCTTGTAGGTTGCTCCATCTTAGTCTCATCCTTTATTATAGAATAGTAATTCAGCAACTTGGGTGGCTCTAGTAATGAGACTAATTTAGGTATAGCTCTGAAAACTGTTTACATAGAGATACCATATGCAGTCTGCTCACCTTGAATGTGATATTTTAAAAATAATGAATGCTGGAAAATTATTTTAATTACTAGCCCCGGACATTGTACCAGGTACTTACTGCTAAGATGATGATCTTTTTGTTTTTAATGCTAAGAATGACTAGATTTTGATACAATAAAAAATAAAATTGGATGTAATCAAAAATAAAACTTGTCTAGCTGAGCATTGTGGGTGTGGCTATGATGTTGTAGATCTTGTTATATGCATTGGGAGTCTAGTCATTGTTAGCAGGGGGGCAGCCAATTATTGTGTTTATGTCAATGGGAGCTGCAACCTTACACCATGAGGCAGAGAAGCATGTATTAAAACTACTCTCAATTAAAAGCTATAATAGAAACAGCCCTAGGCATGAGTAGCACACAGTACTTGGCAGTGGTCAAAAACATTAAACTGTGCTATGCTGTGTGTGTCCTAATCTACGGTTCATCGATAGTCAACTGACCCATTAGATATATGATAAAATTTGAAGCACTGGGTACTTTGCTTTTTGTATTGAGATAGGAGTGAGAGGATCAACATCATTTTGTCATTGGATGAAGAGCTCTGATGCAGCTCTGTAGGGGGAACTCTTCCAATTGAGTTGATTGACAGTTACTGTCAGTGTAGTTCACTGTCTGGGTTTTCTAGCTGGGTGATCTTTGTTTTAATTGACATTTTCTTGTGACAGTTAATGTTCAATCACGTTTTATCACTGTGAAAGATATCTCCAATAACATATAATTATGATGAATCACTTTCAATATTAAAGTACATTTTTGGATCAAGTTCTCCACGTTTCCTGCAGTCAGTTATTCTGTATTATTGTACACATGTTTTATAGTTAAGTTTCTTCTCTCTTCTTCTTGGGAAAGATTTTGTTTGGTTGAAACAGTCTGATGACAAAGGTACCTCGGGATCAATGGTCAGTTGTACCATGGATGTTAGTACATCCATGGTTGTACATTCCAGTAGTGCAATGCAATCACTAAGGGAGTTAAGCAGATTAACATCAGTAAATGCAATGACTAACAAACAGACCTTGGTCAATTAATAATTTACACAAGAATGTTTTTAAAAAAGTTCTGTTTCCTTTATTTTTTTACATTCCTGGTTATTATGATTAACTGAATAATTATTTACTGTTGGTTTCATTCAAATAATAACATTTATAAGTTATTATTTTCAATGGGCAGTTGCTTGAAAAACTAATTCATTATTTACTAACTGTATTAATCTACCAAGGTCTAAAGATAATGAGTACAGTATAGGTAGGTAATGTTCTGAACTAGGCCCTTATGAATATTATTATACTGTATACATGTAAATCACAGTCACCGTATTAAGCTAGATATTCTAAATGACACATACCGACACGAACGTTGTTATGTTAACTCATCGCACCATCCCAATTTTACACCTGAGCTCAGTGTTCTAGGTGAAGTCAAAGGTTTTTTTTAATCCCCACCCATGTTTGGCACTGTACACAAGTTTTGCCTTAAATGACTGTAGAGTTACTGCCTCGCACCCCAGTTCTCTCTGAATATATATAATCTTCTCCACATTCATCTTCCCGGTCACGCTTTGTTGTTTAGAAAATGTAAAAGGTTTCTTTTGACAATTTAAAGAAAGACTATCAGCTGGCGTTTTGACCCGTGTCATGATTTATGTTTTTCTATTTGTGTGGCTATTTAGGGCATACCTGCCGCTGTAACTTTTCTGTCATAATCTCGTGCTGCATGGCGTACTTGCTTCCTCCTTGCATTGTTTTTATGTAAATTAACTTCCTTGTGGCATAAACTTGAAATGTAAAGTAAGTGTTGCAATTAAATTAATTCTGTCAGTGTACTCTGTGTGATGATAACTTTTTACTTGTATGGCTGTTATGTGTACACAAAAAAGAACAGGCCCACTGTGGGTTATAAGTGGAATTCCTCAGGTAGGTGTCAATTGTAAACATTCTGGAGTGCCAGTTCTACCACCATAAAAATCAGCTCTGCACCTACTTAGTGTTACCAGGCTGTAATATACAATTTTGTGTTCATTTTGAGTAAATATTAATATTCTAGCAAAATCCACCCATAACTAATGGATGATTTTCATTACAAATTAACATTTAAAAAAAAAAATATTTGCCATAAAAAATTTGGGTAACCTGCAAGTCTTTTCCTATGGTGCTGTGCAAATGTAGTCGGGGTATTTTTTGTCAGCCATGAAATATCGCTATATTGTTTTGACGGTCAAGGATAAATGTAGCTTGAATGTCACTCAAATTTTAAATTGTCACTACAATATGTCAAAATTTTTCCTAATTCAAGGAATTTGTCTCGTAAAATCACTGTGGTTCAATGATATTCTTAAAAATATTGTACATCCTGTGCGATTCAGATGTGAACAATGCCTGCCTACATCACACAGTTTTTTAATAACATTTAATTAACAGGTTTTGGTTGTCCCAAACTACATTTTGTAGTTGATAGCATCCATTGTTAGAAACTGACCCAACAGATGTTGCTGTAGCTTGAATTGTTTCAAATTGACTCAAACATATTGATCAGAAACGTAATGTATTAAAGAAATAATAAGCTCAGTTATATATTCAGACAATAACAAAATTGGAATTAAAAATAAACAAAGAAATGAGTGGTAATATGTGTATGGCAGGGATGCTGGTTTGGCTGTATGGCGAACATATAAACAGCACGCAAGATT